AGGATCGACATTTGCCATAATCTATGTATATTCTGGTCTCGCACTGAATAGTATCTATGTTGATTTTCCCTTGACGTTAACTCTTTACATATATGGATATTTTCAGCATCATGAATTGTTTTCGTAACATGGACATTCCATTGTGCTTTATTAGGAAAGCTGGCAGACACAATGTATGTATTTACATAATCTGTCAGGTCGTATTTATATGTTAATAGTAGCATATGGTAGATAGGGGATTTTGTACTTTTAGCTTCTCTTTCATAACATGAGTCAAGTAAGAATTGACTAAGTTTAAAGTTTAAGACATTCTTGAATACAAAGTTTAAATTACCTCTACATAATTTGCCAAGGAACATAAGACAACGTTTTTCTATGTATGCTTGGACTGATAGTAAATTTAAACAGTCTCGTGCGACAACTGTCGAAGAACATTTAGAGAGCCCCTGGATGTGTTTACAGAAGAAAGATTGAGCTCTTTCAAGTATTTCATACTCTTTAGATGTTAGTTTACACCATAATTCACAAGCAAACAGGGCACATGGTAACATAACTCTGTTCCAGACTCCACAAGCAGACATGGGGTTTAGACCACCAAAGAACAAACCATTGCAGCGATTTGTGTTGACTAACATTCTAAGTTTATCACATGATTTTTGAGTACGCACTAAAGTTGAAGATGCAGTGGTTATGTACAAGCCAGCATACAAAACAAGATCTTTTTGAGTTACAATCTTCTCCCCAATGTAAAATGATGGACATGTATGTTTTTGGGTATTACCAAACAATAAGAATACACTTTTGTCGGCATTATATTTAAGATGCCATTTACAAGAGTACTCAAAACACACATTTAGTGCACACTGTAGGCCATCTATGGCTCCACTTACAATAGCTGTGTCATCTGCTAATAAGATACCTGGCACATTACCCCATGGAAGACTTAAACCGTGTTGTAATGATTCTAGTGCGTATAATAGGTCATTAATATACAATGAAAATAACCAAGCTGACAAAACACAGCCTTGACCAACACCTTGTTTTACAGGAAATGGAGCAGATGCAACTCCCCCTATTTTAACACAAGACTGCATTGAAGTATATTTAGTACGTAAGATACGCCACAGTTTACCATTTATACCAAAGTGATGGAGTTTATAAAATAATCCATTAAGCCATATTCTATCAAAGGCCTTCTCGTTGTCTAGAAAGACACAAAACCACACACCCCCCAACACTTTCCAGCACAAACCACCCACACTCCAACCCACAAACAAAACCCAACCCCCCACCCTCCAAAAGCAGCCAGCACCCACACACAAACCCACACTAACTCTCACTCCACAAAAACTAAACCAAAACCTAAACAAACTCGTCGAATTTATAATTGCAGCCATACTTATGGAAAAACCAACAGCCAAAAAACGACACACACTCTCACATAAATCCAAACTCACAAAAGCCTTGCCAGTCTCCTCATTGCTCTCAAAACCCCCTTTTAAATTCACCAACCTCTAAGCTACCCTAGCACTAAATCCTTATTGTTCCAAATTCATGCCCCACACCATGATATTTATTAAACTTCTATTCCTAATTACAGTAACCATGGCACTCATACAGTGGAATTGCAACTGTGTCCGAGCTCATGGTCATGAGCTTAAGGCCCTCATTGCCCATAACAAAATCTCACCCGATATTATAGCTCTGCAAGAAACACGATTATCCCCCCAAAATGCCTTCAAAATACCAGGCTATACTTTCATTCGGAAGGACAGACCACAGCCAACTAACTACCCAGCCCCCCCTGGAGGGGGTCTGGGCATCTTCATTGCAGAGAAATTAAATTATAACATATTGCAAATTTCAGTACAAGATCTAGAAGTCCTGGCAATCACAACTAAACTCAATAATAAAGACTTAACCATTATTAAAGGTCACATGCACATAAAACACAACTTTGCAGATTCTGATACCTTTCGGTATGGACTTACCGAATCAAATCGTCAAAAATGCAAATTCAACTTATAAAGTTGAAAAATAACGCGATGAAAAAACCCACACGAAATCGGAGTTCAAAAGTTTCACTAATTTTCCCCCGACTTTTCGGGGGAAAACTGGTTTCAACAGCTGGGCTGCGCTCATAGCACGTGCACAGTGAAATAGGTTCGCGCAGCTTGGAAGCTGGTTGTCCGGTGAATACTCGGTGAAGGCTTTGGTGTGAGCTTTTTTTCTAATGTTTTGTTGATATCTCACAGGCGCGAGCTTTTTATATGTTATGACAGTAAATTGACTGTTTATATAATTTCATTTGTCTATTTCACCACACGTTCTTCTTACCGAGTCACTTTCTCAGTTTGATACTTAAAAGCAATGTCATTATTTAGCGTTGACAGAATTTCTAACTGTGATATAGATATGTCGTTGTCACAGACAAAACTCAATGTCTTGTTTTATTGACACCTGTGTGTCTGCCTGCCTGTCTGCTAATGACAATATTCAATACACAGCTGCTATCACTGACCACATGCAATTTGAACTTAACACCAATCAGGCTATACACCATAAACAAAATGCATTAATTTTAGAGTCCACAGACTCCTGAGTGAGAACAACTGTGAATCCCTGATATCACTTGGCCAGGTGCAGCTATCATCAATAAGAACTTTAACTGAAAACCTCCAACATAAGTACACTAAACACTGGTGCCGGCGAATTGAATCAAATACGGGAAAACTACGCACATACCGCACTTTTAAAACTGCCCATGGAACGGAATCCTATGTATTAACACGACTACCCGGTTATTTTCGCGCGGCTATCGCCAAGTTCCGGTGTGGAGTTGCTCCAATTAGAATAGAAACAGGCCGATACGAAAACCTCCGCCCAGACAAACGCCTATGATCCCTATGCAGTAACCCCTGTATCGAAGACGAGCGACACGTCCTACTACAGTGCCCTGTATACGACGATCTACGATATGATCTGATACAAGAAGCCAGCTCCTTCTTTACCGACTTCCATCTATGGCCAGAGAGTGTGAAGTTCACAGCGATTTTAAGTCATAACCATTTAATGGTTAAATGTGCCAAAGCCTGTTTTAATATACTTAAGCGTCGTCGTAATCTTCTATATTCTTAAAACTCCTTTCAGAGTGTATACTTTTTATCGTATAAATTAATTATGTTTTAATTGTGTATGCCTGTTTCACCTTTTAAGTATTCTGTATGTATATATTTTCATATGATATGTTTACGCATTTTTTTTAATGTTTTTTTTTTTATATTTAATTTTTATCTTTTTTTTTCTTCTTTTTTTTAAGGTATATACTTATGTATGTGTGTGTGTAAACCTTTAGCATATATACAAGTCTCTCGTTACTCTTATAGAGTGGCTCATATATTCCTTATACTGCTATATTTTCCCAATTCTACGTGTACTTTTACTGTATATATGAGGTGAGACTCAAATAAACTATCTGTCTGTCTGTCTGTCTGTCTGTCTTGTTTTATGGCCCGAGTTCGGTTTCTGTCACATTATGTAATTACACACACAGGCAGGTGTGATACTTGAACACATGACATGTTATGATGTCTGTTGATTGCAAACTGTTATACACAAAAAATGAGCATGTATTTACAAAAACCCAACATCTCTCTCTCTATATATATACACACAATTAGCCGTGAAGGTATCTGCAAATGAACCAGCCGTTACACTTGAGTGCACACCCACCCGCTCTGACTGGGTTCGGTATCCCGGAATAAGTGATAATTGTGTTTTAATTATGTTTGATTTTTTGGTTGCATGTGACCTTTAACTATAATAGTTCAGGGCGAAAGTGTGTTTTATTACACTATACATGGTGGTAGAGCGAACTGTATTTCTTAAATAATGTGTATGTGTGTACGTGAGAGGGGAGAGAGACGTGGCTGGTACAACAGTAAGTGTTTGATAGAGAGAATATTACTCGGGCAGTTCAAGAGAGGGGTCTAGAAGTTTGGTGTGAGGGGTAGGGCTGCGGTAGGGTTTGGATGGAGGTGTGTATTCAAATTCAAGCAGTGTTGCTGTAGAGAAGGTGAAAATATGTTTTTGTAAGCATTGAGATTTTAACATTTAAAGCTCATATCATTTCTTTGCGAAATTATCTTCAGCGTTAGCAAGTCATGTCAGATTTGTAGGCATATTATCAATATTTTAAATAGGTATCAGTTGTAGCGATAGCCCGAGTCAGACACAGTACATTTCAGTACAAGCGGTAAAAGTGATACGTGATGGTAGCGCGGGTGAGTGGCTGATTCAGTGGGTGAGTGGGTGAATCCGTGGGTGAGTGAGTAAGTGAGTGGGTGAATAGATAAGTGAGTGGGTGGATGAGTGAGTGGTGAATGGGTGAGTGAGTGGGTAAATCCCTGGGTGAATCAGTGGGTGAGTTGGTGATTGTGTGAGTGGGTGAATCAGTGGGTGAGTGAGTGGGTGAATCAGAGTGAGTGAGTGGGGAATGGGTGAGTGGGTTAATCGGTGGGTGAATGAATGGGTGGGTGAGTGAGTGGATGAATGGGTGAGTGGGTAAATCACTGTGTGAGTGAGTGGGTGATTGAGTGAATGGGTTAATGGGTGGGTGATTGAGTGGTTGACTGAATGGGTCAATCAGTGGGTGAGTGAGTGGGCGAATCAGTGAGTGGGTGAACGGGTGAGTGAGTGGGTGGGTAAATAAGTGGGTGAGTGAGTGGGCGAATCAGTGAGTGAGTGGGTAAATCAGTGAGTGAGTGGGTAAATCAGTCGGTGAGTGAGTGGGTGAACGGGTGAGTGAGTGGGTGGGTGAGTAGGTGATCGCCAGAAATGGGCTTCACACATTGTACCCATGTGGGCTTTGATGGGGGACATATTCACAAAAGGAGTATATGTTGTTCACAGTGCAATATCTTAGCACAACGTCAGGTTCACCGGGAAATGTTTATAGGGAAATATTATCAAGTGAAACTACATTATGTGACGCATTATATCAGAAACTGCATCTGTCAGTTTTTACTCACCACACTGGTGACTATGTTTCTGGATTTCACTGTGACCGTAGCACTATATGGGTGTGGTATGTATCTGGCTTCGAAAACTGAAATATATTTTGAATCTGTGGTTAAGTTGCTTTTCGGTTTAATCTTTTGCTATGTTTAACAAGTGTATCTAGTATTATCGAGTTCTGATTCTAATTACCTTTTCGTATACAGCACTAGCCTCCTTGACAACTGGATACCCACACACTGTTACACGTGTTGGCGACGATGTTAACATAACCATGAACCCAGCGAATGTCAGCTTCCTATACTACGTATGGGTGAATGGTTCGGTAGCTGTGAGACTGTTACTGGTCCTGCCTAAGTCACACCGTGTATGGGTACTCAACAACAGTCACACCGGCTACACGACCAGGATCAGATACACCGGGGAGGACTCACTATCACAGACAGGACAGCTGAGGTTTACCATCTACAATGTTACTGTACAGGACGCTGGTACTTACTACTGTCAAAGAACCAATGGACAGACAGTTACTGGATGTAGACAGGTCCTCGTTGTAGCACGTGAGTACTGACTGGGGTTAACAGAACAATATGAATGCGCCTATACTAAAATGTAATTAACCATATATAAATACATGTATGTGCGTGCGTGCGCATGCGTGTGCTTGTGCGCTTGTCGTCAAAGAATGTATTTTGCAGTTTAACATCGAAAGCCTTCTCACTCACAGTATACCCGTGAAGATCCGGGTTAGAATTGGTCTTCAGTAACCCATGCAACTAACGGGATCGGGCGGTCAGGCCCGCTGACTTGGTTGACACATGTCATCGTATCTCAACTGCGTAGATCGATGCTCATGATGTTGATCACTGTAGTGTCTAACACAGACTCGATTATTTACAGATCGCCGACATATAGCTGGAATATTGCTGAGTGCGACGTTAAACAACAACAACCAACCAACCAACCACTCACTCACAGTGACCCAATTCAAACGTCAGCTCAAGACGTTCTTATTCAACTAGCACTTTGTGTTCCAAATGTGCTACTCTGACAAGCGCTCCGAGCATACATGTGTATGAAATTAAGCCCTATACAAGCAACCTTATTATGTTTTACAGATTTGAAAATAGTATGCACCCGAGAGGGTTTGGGTGATCCTGGCACAGTCAGGCTGGGAAAGCTCATCATCAGCTCAGGGCCCTTGCCCCCTCTACACGCAGCCCAGACAGCGAATGGGACTTCTCCCAGGAAACACTGCCTAGTCGAACCCACCAAGAACTTTCCGGAGAATATGAATGCTCCCCAACACTGCAGCCTTCTGCATTAACCAGAGTGTCAGAAGGGCTGTGCTCCCGGTGGAGAACCGCGGCACTCTCCTGATCTGCGCCAAGAGATCAGGAGGTACCAAACCAAGGGCACCGAGAACAATGCGGAACCTGACGACAGTGTACTTGGGATTCAAAGGCGAGGTCCGCATATTCAGAATGTTTTTCCTGAATCTTGCCAATCACATTGCTGTCAAAAGGGACAGAAAATACAATGATATAAATAAATGGCTTTATCAAAAAGGACAAGGTCAGGTTTGTTGGCAGGAATTCTTCTGAGGCTGTATATGGGCTTATTCCACAGAAGTTTGAAATCATCATTTTCCTTGACGCCCTGGACATGTTCAGGGTCGTACCATGGATGGACCTCAGTCAAAGTCAAAGTGAGTCCACCTGTCTTATCACTATAATCCCGAGCGCCAGGCAAGGTAACAACAACTAGCGTATTTTAACGTCATTTGGTATGACGTACCTTGGGATCAAACCGGCCATGCTTCTCTCTCCGGGCAAATGATCTATTCACTTGAACAAGGAGGGAGTAGTTGTATAGTAACTATTATATTTAATAAACAAACACAATTCGGAGTATTAGCGAGTCGCTGGCTTTTATTTTATTGACAAAAACGGTAAATACTTCAATAATAAAAATGTCAAAACATTTAGTAAAATCTTGTTTATTGACATTCGCATTATGGTCTCAATGGATTCATATCTCAATATTTGTTCACAGAGAAACCAACCACACCTACCATCACCGGACCTGCCTCACCTGTATCAGGTGAGAATGTCACCCTGACATGCTCCTCCTCCTCCCGGAGTCTACCCCCGGACCACCCCCCACTGACCATGACCTACATCTGGAGGAGGGACAGGACTCTGCTAGAATCTGGTGATGGGTCTCCTACAGGTGGAGATGACCTGACAATAACCCACGTCAGCAGAGAGAACCATGGCGACATCTACAGCTGCCAGGCTGTGGAGGAGGGGCTGAAGTCTAACTGGAGTGACGGACATGTGCTGGATGTTCTCTGTGAGTAAGAACTTACTTTGTTGTAGGTATCAGAACCTCGAATATGTTATCTTGCAACTAATACACGAATACCTAAAAACATATGTCACATCATTGTTATTCGCCTGGATATATGTTTTAAATATGAGCAAAGGCGAGCACTGAGCAACATTTAAAACTAACAATACATATATACAGTCGAACCCCATTTACTCGGACCTCGTATATCCGGAAACCCCGCCTTCCGGGCGATTTTTAGGTGAAACGAAACTTGCCTTCAGTAATTGTACTCGCTTAGCCGGACCCCGCGCTTCCGACCCGCACGGAGAAGTTTCAAGTTTTGTAATTATATTAATGGATCTGATGATACGGAGACGAATGCATCAGTTTATGTTTTTGTCTCGCAATTCGAACGTAACAAATGCAGATTTTAGAGAATATAAATGCACGGTGACACACAAAGGTCAACACAAGGTTATCTAAAATATTACGAAAAAACGGAACATAGGAGACTCACTACCAACCACGCATGCCAAAGTTTCAGGATATTTCAAATAAACATTACTGAGCAGTGGTCGTTTACTAAACCAAAGGGATTTTAACTTGTTACCTTAGAACTAATATACATGTATCAGTGCTGATGTTGTTTTAACGTGATGTATCCATATAAGTAACTGTTAAGGACACGCTGTTTTCAAAACTGTTTTAAAGAGCAATATACTGATGGCTTACTGGATTACATACGACACTTGCTGATATTCCAGATGAAAAAAGTGTAAATTTAGAGTATATTCTACTTAGGATTGTATGTAGACTGTATGTGGTCTATCATAAATCTTCCCCGACGCGACACACAATACGACCTGAAAGAAGACCTGAAAGAAGATCTGAACTGTCACTGAATATGTGACGCCAATGACACCTACCTGAAGTAATGACTCCGTGGCCTTTGTTCGATGTTTGTATGTAACTTGGCGGCGTTCAGCTGGCACTGACACAATGCATTTCAACGTTCAGTTTATTACTCAAGGTTCAACTATTGCCTTATGGTGAATTGGACCTCTTACCTGGCTTTGTATTAATTAACCCTAATTATTCAAAGTTATTATTCTGGCGTAAGATGAGTTGACTGTGATAATCAATGATGCAGTTGATGCAGCTATCATTCCAACTGCATAGAACTTCAGTATGGAATGATATCGTGTTCCTTTAACATTGACGCCAAATGATCGTGGAAATTACATGTGTTTTCCTTCACTATCCCCCCATGTCACCCCCGCACCCACCCCACCCCCACCACTTTGTACATCACAGAAACACAGATGCAACATAAAATGAAGCATACAACTTTTTTCATGACAACTTCTTATTTATTGCATAGAGCGACGTTTCGAGGTATATCCTTACACCGTTATCAAGATAAAAGTAACCTGTTACTTTCAAACAATCAGATGCAACTTGCTATTTACACTTACTTTACAAATGTGTATTGGGCAGTATTCAGAATCAGTAGGATCAACTAATGCATGCAGTACATGTTCCGTTGTTTGCTTGTGATACAATGTAGAGGTACTGACCATAGCTCTTTGTGCCTTCCAGATGGACCTGACAAGATACAGTTTGACGACACAAGTGACAAGCTGGAGGTAGAAGAAGGGAAACCTGCAGCTGTGAGATGTTCTGCTGACTGTAACCCTGCCTGTACTGTAACCTGGTGGGACATCTTCAGACAGACGGTGATTACAGGACAGGGGGAGGCTGTGTTGTCTATACCAGCTGTAGATGTACCTGTGTCTGGACTGTACACGTGTTACGTCAACAACACACATGGGAGTGCATCACGGAACCTGACGCTGGAGGTCTTCTGTAAGACTTGCACAGATTGCGGAAACATACTTTAGTAACGGAATATGTAACACTTATGGTTATATTTGGATGTACCTTTAATGACTGATTACGTCTTCACTCACATCAATATTCTCGAAACAAACAGAGATTATCAACAATTATTCATTCAAACTCGTAATACTGAATAGGAGGTCAACCTTGACAATATTCTGTTGATGTGACATCAAGCCAATGTGATTCTTCACTTTCAGATTCTCTCAAAACAAAATAAAAACATATCTGAATTGAGTAGAACAAAGTATATATACTTACTCTATTATATCATATATATAGTTCGACAAACAAACCAGTTCCAATAAATCGTAACATTTGTGACACATGAGTCCATATATACACATTTCGATGTGATCTTATTCCATATATTGTACAATGTATATATCTTGAATCCTAGGAAAGCTTCTATTTTGTATGGTGCATGTTGCAGCACGTGAGGTAACTGAATCTTCTGCCGTTTCCATCGTACCTGTGGCTGCCGTCTGTTCTGTCCTCATTGTCGTCATCGCTTTTGCAATCGTCGTCGTCGTTGCCCGCAGACACAGGATCAAGAAAGGTATTGTATTTGTAGTGATAGAATCGAATACGAGTTGTGCTGCTATCTCAGACGTATTTCCTGTCAAGCATCTCGTCAATCTGTTACTACAATTACATCAAGTACAGCTGAATACATTCTTAATAATGGCTTTGTACGAGTAGTGATTACATAATGTTTTATGTATTTCAGGAGGTAAAGTGTACAGGTGAGGGCTCTTCCCGATAGCAGATAACTGTTGACAGTAGATCATTTCAAGAATAGTGAGAAGAACACAGCGTTTATATGCACGTTAAATATTCCTGCATTCCCCTAAAAGGTAAGGTACATGATTACCCCTACAATCTAAGGTACAGGGTTGCCCCTACAATCTAAGGTACAGGGTTCTCTCTACAAGGTAAGGTACAGGGTTGCCCCTACAATCTAAGGTACAGGGTTCTCTCTACAAGGTAAGGTACAGGGTTACCCCTACAATCTAAGGTACAGGGTTACCCCTAAAATCTAAGGTACAGGGTTGTCCCTACATGTTAAGGTACAGAGTTACCCCTACAATCTAAGGTGCAGGGTTGTCCCTACAAGGTAAGGTACAGGGTTACCCCTACATGTTAAGGTACAGAGTTACCCCTACATGTTAGGTACATGGTTACCCCTAAAATCTAAGGTACAGGGTTACCCCTACAATCTAAGGTACATGGTTGTCTCTACAAGGTAAGGTACAGGGTTACCCCTACAATCTAAGGTACAGGGTTACCCTACAATCTAAGGTACAGGGTTACCCCTACAATCTAAGGTACAGGGTTGTCTCTACAATCAAAGGTGCAGGGTTACCCCTAAAATCTAAGGTACAGTGTTACCCCTACAATCTAAGGTACAGGGTTACCCCTACAATCTAAGGTACAGGGTACCCCTACAATCTAAGGTACAGGGTTACCCCTACAATTTAAGGTACAGGTTTGTCCCTACAATCAAAGGTACAGAGTTGCCCCTACACATTAAAGTACAGGGTTACCCCTAAAATCTAAGGTACAGGGTTGTCCCTACAAGGTAAGGTACAGGGTTACCCTACACATTAAGGTACAGCGTTAACCTGCAATCTAAGGTACAGGGTTACCCCTACAATCTAAGGTACAGGGTTACCCCTAAAATCTAAGGTACAGGTTTACCCTTACAAGTTAAGGTACGAGATTACCCCTACAAAGTAAGGTGTATGGCTACCCTTGCAAGTTAAGGTACAGGGTTACCCCTGCCAGTTAAGGTACAGTTACCCCTACATGACAGTCGTTCAGGGCTATCTCGAAAACATAAAGATACAGGATTAGCATTGACGTTTGCAGTTTCAAGGTGAGCAAATTCCAGTTGTAGGTTTAGCTCTAAGATAATGTCAGAAATTATTGTTACCGGGTATGCTCGGGTAGTTATTCTAATAATATTAGCATTTAAACTAATTAAAGGTCGAAATTTTACAGTTTTATCTTTGCAATCTGATGTATGCCGAGTTATGATATGGTTACTTAATCCTCCACTTCAGTTCAGAGTTGTGTCTTTCAGGGCTGGCGACCGCAGTATGGCTGACAACGAAGCACAATTTCAACAAGATCCCAGTGGTAAGTATCAGGGTCCCTATCCACAAAACGTTCGTAACGCCACGACCTGTCGGGTGTCGGCGCATGTCACCAACAGACTTGTTCGTAATCCGTGCAAAAAGTTTGTGTGTAATATACACCCTTCATAGTTCGCAGGGGCGGTGGGGTAGCCTAGTGGTTAAAGAGTTGCTCGTCATGCCGAAGACCCCCGCATGGGTACAATGTGTGAAGCCCATTTCAGGTGTCCCCCGTCGTGATATTGCTGGGATATTAATAAAAAGCGGCGTAAAACTAAAATCACTCACTCAAGGTTTAAGCCAATCAGCGTAATTGTATATAGTAGATATATTTCAGTTTCATCACACACGCGGGGTAAGTACTAGACGTTAGAGGGATGTACGCTTAAAACACATTCACAGCCAGTTTACGTAGATGTTCATGGTGTCAATCACTAGATTGTCTGGTCGAGATTAATATTTCCAGACCGTCGCCATACAGCTTGTATATTCTTAAGTGCAACGTCACAACAAACAAAAGAATGATTGAAATCTTTGCTTGTGACATCGAGATATGGATATATCTAATAATAATGATACTTTCAATCGTCGCATATAGCGTGAAGAATGTAATATGTAATATAATATAAAGCATTGTAACGGTAGATCACACGAACGGTATACGTAATGTACAATGGACGGACAATGAGAAGCAGGAGAAGGTGTTATATTTTTCAAAATCAATAGGTTAGGGTCACAGGTATAATGTAAAAGTTTTGTTCCTCATTACTCAAGATCAAATTGTTAAGATGTGTTCAGCAATACCCAGTGTTACCCACCCCACAAATACTCGAACTCCCTCCCAACTCACCCAACCCCACCCTCCGCATGCACGTCCTTGTATTTGTTTCAGATTCCTTGTACTTGAAGACATTTGTTTCTACTCAACTTGGTCATTTGAAAATCATTCATGGGCTCTTGTTAGCTTTCGGTTTGCCCGGAAAATAGGACCAGTGTTCAAGGAAGATGAATTATGTTCCAATATTAGAAACAAGATGAACCCAGAGCATACATCACCTGACCTTGAACTATCTGTTTGGAAAAACACGCGTTCGCAAACAAACAAGGTATTCAGACAAGACAGCTGAAAAGCCGCTATTTTTAACCACCCACACATGACCCGAGTAATAACAAGGTTCTTGTGTTGCATTTCATATATGTCAAGGAGCAGTGGGGTAGCCCAGTGGTTAAAGCGTTCGCTCGTCACGCCGAAGGCCCGGCTTCGATTCCCCGCATGGGTACAATGTATGAAGTCCATTTCTGGTGTCCCCCACCGAGATATTGCTGGTATATTGCTAAAAGCGGCATAAAAACCAAATTTATTCATTCATTTATCTACGTCACACAAAAGTATTGAAAGCAGGCCGTTTACTACAGAATAAACCAAACCACGGAGTAACATGAATGTAGGTCGGTCAAATGTTCCACAGGTCGAGAAAAACGCCATGCGCAGTCGCATATTATCTGACAAGCCACTCCTTGTGCTAACTATTAAGCAATATTTCATGTACTTGCACACACAAATGCTTCACTGGCGTGCAGTGTAATACTGATTACAGAAATACCGTTGACTGCAGAATGCTATGGTGACAAGAAGTATTTAGGATTGGGGGTCTTGAATGTTAAGCTGTCACGTAATGGATACGATTTCTAGTAGTTCAGGTGGTCACTACCTTAAGAGGTGAGGTGAAATTGGGTTTAACGTCGTGCTTGAGAATATTTCGCTCAAATGACGACGTGCATCCATGTGTATGTGTATGTGCGACTGCTTGTACTAGCCCAGACTTAAGCTGGTTTTATAGTGCTAGCTCACTGAGATACCACGCCGCAGTGAAGCATGAATACCCCACTCAGACACATTATACTGACTCCGAGCCGACCAGTCCTTGTTGTACCCATTAATGCCGAGCGCCAGGCAGGGACCAACAAGTGCAGTTTTTAACGTCTTTTGGTATGACGCAATCGGGGATCGAACCCGCGACCTTCCGCTCTCCAGGCGGACGCTCTAACCACGGAGGCGGTCACACTACCTTAAGAATCTACCAGTAATCTACCCCGTGAAAATCTAGACAAGAAATGTTCTTCACCAATCTATTATTGGCGACTTACAGGCGATCAGACTGACTGCTTCATTTCTTCATGTCATCATGTCCCAGTTGCGGAAATCGATGCTCATGATATTGACCACTTGTTTGTCTGGTCCAGACTCTATATTACAAACCGCTGCCATATAGCTGGAGTATTGCTGAGTGTGGTGTACACACGTACAAAACCATTGATATTGTTCCCCTTGTTGTGGTATTTGTTTCTGACTGTACACTTCTACCTACAGACCTGTATGCCAAGGTGAACAAAAAGAGGAGGCGCAGAAGAGAAGGTACAGTCCGTCTTTCTGTCCGTGTGGTCAGTGAGTCTCATTTGAGGTTAGGGGCGGTGGGGTAGCCTAGTGGTTAAAGCGTCCGCTCGTCACGCCGAAGACCCAGTTTCGAATCTCCACATGGGCACAATGTGTGAAGCCCATTTCTGGTGTCCCCCGCCGTGATGTTGCTGGAATATTGCTAAAGGGGCGTAAACTAGACTCACTCACTCTCTTGAAGTGATGCTGTACATGACGTAATCTACGCCCCTTTAAGTCTTCCTACGCCCAGGACTCTTTACCCTCAGGCGTGTCCGTTTGTCCTTTTGACAATGCGCCGGTGAACGTATCATCTAGAGCATTCAATTCCCTATGCGGTAAGACTTCCGCCCGTATCCCCCCTAAATTTTAACGATGAGAGAAATTTCTTGAGTGACATTTATAGATGTTGGATATATCTATCAGTATGTAGATATAATTAATGAAACATGTTAAAACTCATTCTTATCAGATGAAGAATATTATTCAGGTGATAAGATTTGACTATTTAGAATGAATTTAAGGGGGGATACGGGCGGAAGTCTTTCCAAAGGGTCGGGACCATCAGTGTTAGAACACGTATTTGACACCTTATTATTAGGTGTCTTTGTTAACCAAGATTACTGATAGTTTGACAGCTTTTTGTCAAGAAGCAATCTCTATTCCTACGGAAGCTTTTTAGGGCCATTCGTTTTGATGATTACACAATACCATATAGAAAGTAGTCACATGTGACATACATGTATGCTATATTTGTGTGCTGGCGATTAGCTGCCTGACTCTGAGAGTGTGGGCTCGAATCCCGGATGGGACTGAACCCAACAAAAATACTAGAATCTATACTTTATTAAGAAAGTGTAATCCCAAATATAACATATGTTCCATTCATTTTTGTTTTGTTTTTCTTTAAATTTCAAAATGATATGTTGAAATGATAAGTTATTATCTTGAAATTTCAAGACAATAAGTTGATATTTCATGAAAAAAAACAGAAAAAAACGAATGACCCAAAAGGCTGCCGTACCAATCTTACACAACTCTTTAATAATCTATACTCCTTGTTCTCCCTTCTACAGTGTCTGATGTTTATGCCACGGTCCAGAGGGTTCAGAGCAAACAGTTTGTGAACAGGGCTTATGCAGGTGCAGGACCATCGGTAAGTTATGGAACTGTTTTCCTTAAAAATAATTTTTGAAAGGAGGATAATCTATTGCCATTTAGTCAGTGTCTCGTTAAGACGTGGATACGAGATAGGGGGGTGGAGGCAGGCAACGTGGAGTAACGAATGTGTCCAAGAGCGTTCGTTGTGGTACTCTTGGATAGTAGTTCAAGAGGCGGAAGACAAAAGTCAGCAGTATAGTTGAAGACAGCAGCAGCCATGTTTCTTCTGGTTGGGGAATAATGGTAGAAATGGTACTTAAGATGGAAATCACGTGACAGAACGCACATCGGGACCGAGACCCGCTCTGTCACTTACACGCATTCAGAAGTCGGACGGCGATTCTTCATCGTCGACGTAGTCGTTGTGTTGTTGGTGAGACGACGGCCTTGGCCGACGCCCCGACTAGCCGCACAGTCCGTCCGCTTCGGTGGATGATCTGGGCCCGTTTCCTCGCCTCGTCTCTGACTGGTCTCCCCTGCTTGGTCTCCCTGACTGACCATGTGAGTCCAGTTTTATGCATAGGGACATTACGCCGCGTTGTGCAAGGTCACTGACCTGTGCACATGTACATACATAAGATCCGCCGACGTGGGGAGATGTTAATTGACATTTACTGATGGCATTGAGAATTAAGGGTCCTTCCCTGAGGGGGGTTTATGATAAAAGGGCTACACCGAATGATTGCTGAATACATTAAACAGACAAAGGGGATAGAATTTCGGTGCACTTTGGATTTATATGGAAACAATTATGTTGTTTGAACATATGAAGTTTTACAGAAACTTATTGAAATGGTTTACTCTATGACAAATGCATGAATTAAACTTTCACATTGCACTAATAATACTAAGGGTTTTGGTTCCAAAAGAAATGGCCATCGGCAGCCTATGCTTGTCGTTAGAGGCGACTAACGGGACTGGGTGGCCAGACTTGTTTGACACATATAACATTGTATCAGAATTGTGAATATCGATGCTCATGACGTCGACCACCTGATTTTATCTCGTCCCGAGTCGATCATTCACTGACGTCTACTGCTGAGTGTGGCGTAACGCAAGCAGATAAACGTTCAAATTGATTCTATTTCTAAAATAAGGACAGTCAAACGACATCACAACATCTTTGTTTTCTGCACAATTCCCCAGCAAGATTAATGCCATCACTTTGGTCACCATTGGCTGTAGGTTAAAGAGAAGAATAAAGAAACTCGCAGCTACCAAGACGAGGCCAATGTCGAAGTTCTAAAACACTAGTCAATGTTATTTTTATCAAGAACAGACTTACGTACAACTAGTGGGACAATACTTTCACATTACGTCCATCAATAATTTCAGTTGATGATATTATTACATTCTTTTAATATTCATTAAAGTAATTCAGTTAAGTTTAATTCTTCATAAAAATCAAGAATTAAATGAACATTAACATATCAACAAAAAGTCCTTTCAAGAACTTGAACATGATGTAATGAATGAGATGTGTGAAAATGTCATGTGTTTAGTACATTATCATTAGATCGTACATGTGTTTGTTATTTCCAGTCTGAAAATGCAGTTCTAATCGACTATGCAGGACCAGTCGCAGCCGAATACAACAACTGTGGAGAAACGGTAGGCTTTTTGTCAATATCCTGCCACGTTCCAGGGAAGAAACGTCTCTGATTGGCTGACACAATGCCGACGCGAAATTGTAACTCACTCAAAAAGATAGCATAATCTGCTGTAGAAAACTGGTTGGTTCTGTAAATGTATCAGGTGAAATTCCCCTGGAAGAAATGTGAGACAGTTGTAAGTGCAGTTGTGTTTAACTTTCAGAATGATGACGGTCTGACCTACGCCGACCTTGCCCTTGATCCGCCAACCTTTATCGACGGCAACCCCATCATACACAGAAGGGAGGAGCCCGTGGTATATGAGGAGATAGACTTCGCCCTCACCCCCGGGCCGCAGCTGCCGGACAAGATCTGGGAGGTTGAGGAGCAGGAGGAGGAGGAGAGAAGGCAGTGCTTCTGGGAATGATGATGAACAAACCTTGACAATCCCTAGCTGCCGGACAAGATCTGGGAGGTGGAAGAGCAGGAGGAGGAGGAGAGAAGGCAGTGCTTCTGGGAATGATGATGAACAAACCTTGACAATCTCTAGCTGCCGGACAAGATCTGGGAGGTGGAAGAGCAGGAAGAGGAGGAGAGAAGGCAGTGCTTCTGGGAATGATGATGAACAAACCTTGACAATCTCTAGCTGCCAAACAAGATCTGGGAGGTTGAATGGGAGTACAGGAGAATCTCGAGGTTACATTTAGTGAGTGAGCGAGTGAGTGAGGTGAGGTGAGGTGAGGTGAAATTGGGTTTATTGTCGTGGTTGAGAATATTTCGCTCATATGACGACGTGCATGCGTGTGTATGTGTATGTGCGGCTGCTTGTACTAGCTCAGACTGAAGCTGGTTTTATAGTGCTTGCTCACTGAGATACCATGCCGCAGTGAAGCATGAATACCCCACTCAGACACATTATACTGACTCCGAGCCGACCAGTCCTTGTTTTACCCATTAATGCCGAGCGCCAGGCAAGTGAGAAGTGGGCGTGCGTGCGCTCGTGGAACTGTTATATTCTATATAATGATCCACGGTTATAACGAACCGAAACCAGAGGTCCCTTTACAAATTACGTATATTACAAGTGTTTATAACAAAGGAATAATGTAAGCATATATTTCCTAACTATATGTACTTTTTGAAGCCGACATTTACATTTTCATAATCTGTATCAAACTAGTGTCTACTACTGAGGGGGATACCCCATGGAGAGTGTACGTCTGTGTGTGTGTGCGCGCGTGTGCGTGTGTGTGCTCACCCTTATGTAAAACTTAGTTTCTAAACTTTATTTCATATTGCTCTGTGTGATCTCTGGGGTTTTTTCCTTTCCATTGATATTTGCTGGTTGTGCCTTTTTAGGGAGAGAAATAAAGGCTTTATGAGTCACTTTGAAAGGCGACAGATCTTACTTAAAGCCTATAAATATCAGTTGACATTACCTTTTTTTGTCGAATTACCCAAATGTTGTGAGAGTATTTTGTCAATCGGTTGTTGTTTTTTAACTCATATAACGCTTGGCATCTTATTGTTCATATAACGTAAGCATCTAGTCTTTACAGAGGCTAGGCACGTTGTGTTTATAAAGCATTAGGATTTTGGAGTTCATATAACGTTTGGCATCCTACTGTTCATATACGCTAGGCATCTTGTTGTTCATAAAAGGCTAGTCATCTTTCTGTTCATAGAGGCTTGGCATCTTGGTATTTGAATAGGCATGACGTATTGGTTGGTCATGAGTCAGAGAGTTGTTTCCTTTCATCTGAGTTGTTCAAATATGTTAATTTGTGTTTTGATATCGTTTTACTGCAAACAGCATTACATCATTTTGTTATTTTTGTGTTTAGTTATACACGTGAGACTCGATGGGTATTCTTTTGAATAGCTTAGTGAGTTTAGCTTTACGCCGCACTCAGCAATACTCCAGCTATATGGCGGCGTTCTGTAAATAATCGAGTCTGGACCAGACAATCCTGTTGTTCTTCCTGGATGTAAGACCAGTGTGTCGTGAGGTAGATTTGTTCCGTTGACTTCCTTGCTTTCAGAGGAATTTCAGGATTACTTGTATATAGATCTTTACATATTTACTCTATAACTCACATCCCTTAATCTTTTTTTATTTTTTATTATCATTACATTCCCTATTTGTTTAAAACAATTTTATTAAAAGCAGATCTTAGTATTCACTAAGATTATTGTTTATCGTCATGCATACGATAGAGACAATCGTATTTCAGTTTTACAAAATAGGTATTCGTAAGGTGTATATATTTTGTGTTTGATCTTCAGTTACCTTTTAATGCATAAATAGAATATGTGTACATATAATTCACGACTCAGTCTTTGCAAGGATAGCAAGACAGCTTTACAGACTGGGTAGCCGTGCCCATGGAAACGATGTATGTGTCACTGTTGTTCATAATGACGTTGTACATGTCGTCATCTCAAAGTCAGGGATGTATAAGCAATCAAACCTGAACAGTATTATGCATGGAAGATTGTTGTGTTACCTGTGTGTATGGATATATATACACGTGGGCGTTATTGAAGCATCTCGAACTTTTTCGAAATTTCGCATTGAAGAATAACTGGTGTGATTCATTTGTGGAAACCCGACCCGAGAATAGTGAGCTGACCAACATAAAGTCTAGCAGTACTATCACACACGATGTGAAGCCGACACTAGCAGTATGTGCCGAGGTATTTGCCTTGCGGTCATTTCAACAACGCTGAAAATCACTCAGCTATCACCTCCAAGTAGATTTTTTACATGCAGTGTAAACCCTGGGAACCGTTGTACAAGGCAATCTCAGAGGTACAAGCGGCGTAAGTCTATGTTGTTATGTGAGTTACGATCCCTTTGGCGCTGAGAATGTCGTAAGTCTACATTAAGGTGTGGGAGTTTAAGCACCTTAGCACTAAGACTGTTGTAAGTCTATGTAAGGGATAAAAGTTACGATCGCCTTAGCGCTGAGATTGTCGTACGTCTATGTTCAGGTATGGAAGTTACGATAGCCTTTGCGCTGAGATTGTCGTAAGTCAATGTTAAGGTGTGGGAGTTACGATCACCTTATCGCTGAGATTGTCGTAAGTCTATGTTAAGGTGTGGGAGTTCCGATTATCTTACATTTGACTGTCGTTAGTCTGTTAAGGTATGGGAGTTACGATCACCTTAGCTCTAAGACTGTCGTACGTCAATGTTAAGATGTGGGAGTTACGATCACCTTAGAGCTTAGATTGTCGTAAGTCTATGTTAACGTATGGGAGTTCCGATCTCTTTACATTTGACTGTCGTAAGTCTACGAGCAGATGTAGGAGTTACGATGACCTTAGCGCTTAGATCACTTTGTACATCGTCACCACGGGTCACGTAAGTCAGGTTTTGAAATGGAGGGTCTCTATCTCTCACTTGTCAGCCAGAACAATCGCAAAGGTGTCCATCTGCTTCAGATCGGGGTTTGCCAGTATTGTTTAATGTGATTTTGAATCAGATGATGCTTAATTAATGCTTACATGTATACTAGAATCACCCAGTAGAGCATGGCATGGAGAACTGTGGTATGCTTTAGTTTCGTTTCCATACGTATTCTACTAGTCGTTAAACATTGAATGTGCCAATCATCAAATTATTTTTATTCTATATTTGCTATTTTGCAATACCTGTTTATGGTAAATAAATGCTTGAGCAAATGGAGTCTTACACTTTTGGTTACATTCGGCAAAGCCACAAATAGAGTCTTTGACAAATAGGCATTTCAGCGACTATTCCTTGGTACAATAATACAAAGGGGAGCACGTATACATACTGGTTAGATTTGTTCTCCAGCTGCTCATGCGTGAGTGAGTGGGTGAGTGAGCTGGCTTTTTACGCCGCTTTTAGCAATATTCCAGCAACATCACGGCGGGGGACACCAGAAATGGGCTTCACACATTGTACCCATGTGGGGAATCGAACCTGGGTCCTTCGCGCGTGACGAGCAAACGCTTAACGCCCGTTCTCACTAATGAGAGTAGTGTACAACGTCTCCCTGGCGGGATTTTCAAGATGGCGGCACATCCGGTCCCCGTGGGCGCCGCCATCTTGGATCAAGATGGCGGCTCCCACGGTGACCGGATGTGCCGCCATTAGGGGGGGAGATCCCTCGGGTTCCGGTTCCGGTTCCGGTTCCGGCGTGTGCGTACGCATCGCGATGGCGTCACGTCCGGTTCCGGTGGGTGCGCGCATGACGATGACGTCACCTCCGGGCCAAGATGGCGGACGCGTTTCAAGATGGCGTCCCATCCGGTGGGATCGCGTGAGATCTCGCGGGATCTCGTGGACTCTCGCGGGATCTCGCGAGCGTAGACGCATTTCAAGATGGCGGAACGGACGAGCGACGGACGGGACGGAGAAGGAAGGGAAGGAGAGGAAGGGAAAGAGGGAGGGAAGGAGGGAGGGAGGGAGAGTGGCGTGGTGACAATGATGTAGTCCTAAAGTGTGTTTATTGTGGTACCAGCCTCAAAGATACCTATATTTACTGGTTGACGCATGGATGCAAGTGTGTAGTGAAACGAATGCTGGGCATTCACCCATGCCAATGTATGACCCAGCTGTGGTCCCCGTGAGTGAGGTACACACCACAAAACGGTCCTTTTCAGGGCCACCCATCTCTCTCAAAAGAATGGTACATTCAATGTAAACAACAATAATAACAACGATAGACTGGCATTTTTTTCAAACGTTTATTTCCCCCGCTAACAAGAACACTTTGACAAAAGATGCAGGATTAGGGGCGTCTCTGATCTTTTATTTACAAACGGTATGAACTGTAACATCATAATTGTAACATATCACAATATATTCACGTAATGATCTTAGCAACGTTGTGATTTCATTGTATCTACTATTATATGGTTCAAGTGGCTGTAAAGTTTGCAACACAATGCCCAGTAACGGTACGTACTCACACATGTTGTTTTCATTCAATGGGCTTTCCTGTCCACCATACTCTTGATCCATTTGTTTTGGGGAATCGTTTGCAATCCTTCGTAACCCCGTGTCACGATCGTGACTATCACTAAGGCGATCCCGAGATTTAACTGTGAAGAGTGGGCATAAGACCATTCTTTTGAAAGTGACGGTCCCATGGCAAATGGCTACCGCTGTTGTGTTTACGTTAGACAGTGCATAACTGTGACGTCATCGATGACTTCCCAGCTCATGTGGAATTCCTAGAACTGGGTATTTTCCAAGAACGGCTCATTCTCATTTCTTTAACGTAGGAGCCCTGCGTTGCCATTCTAGGCGATAGCATTAAAGTCATCTATGTTTTTCCAGTTCCATCTGTATACCATCCTGGGCACTGGATATACGTCCTTTTGGCTGCCTCCACATAACTTAGTCACGTTTTCAAATAGGCTCGGTAGGATAGGTTCCCATAGAGGGAGTAATTTCCAACTGATTGTGTCCCACAGGCACACACACCTCTCGTAAGAGGGAATGCATCATGTCGTTCACCGTGAACATGAGTGGCCCAATGTCATCATGAGTCACATCCGTGCCATCTGTATTCTTGATTTAAGCCAGATGCGGAGCTGACACTGACTAAAATCTATGTAAGCACTGACAGGGTTAGCAATGTTAAATTGGAGGGGATCCGTGACGTAAGATGGCGCAGGTCTTCCTGTCTACGCCAATGGTACAACAGACTATCATGCCACATTTCAGTGTATCTATTGTGCTACATTATTGAAGGACACTCACACCAGGCGTTTGAGTGAGTGGGTGATTGGGTTTAGTTTTACACCACGCTCAGCAATATACCAGCTGATATATGGTGGCAGGCTGTAAATAATCGAGTCTGGACCAGACAATCCCGTGATCAACAGCATGAGCATCCATCTACATAACTGGGATACGATGGAATGTGTCAATCAATTCAGCGAGTCTGATCACCCGATCCCGTGAGTCGCCTCTTACGACAAGCATGGGTTGCTGAAGACCAATACTAACTCGGATCTTCATGGGAATCAGGCGTTTGGAAGCAAGTGCCTTGTGAAAACAAAGATGACCATCTATGCCTGTCAGTGTTTAACACACCTGTGGTCACTCCCACTGTGAGTTAATCTCACCCAGCGGTCCTTTTCAGGACCATGCATCTCTCAAAAGAATGTTGCGACCAATGCAAACAATAGGTCAATCTTTTTATATCATTCGACAAAAGATGCAGGAAGTAACACAGACATCGATGTAGGCAGGGTTAGCAATGTTAAATTGGTGGGGAACCGCGATCGAAGGGGGGTGCCAGAGGACTGTAATGAATCCACTGACCTTCTTGAGCCAAAGTCATCACAGGAGAGACAGGAAATACATCCTATTGTGCCTTAGAACAATTCAGGCATCCTGGCGCATCATATTGACAACTGATCTGGACTACAGGTCTGGGCTGACTTGCACAAAGCAATCTTAGTGCTACAATGATTGTAACTCCCATGCTCCAACATAGGCTTAAGATAGTCGTAGCACTAAAATCGCTTTGTGCAAGTGGGCCCTGCACAACAGGTTTTCACAACAGGTCTTGACCGTACGGTGTCTGGTGTTGAACTGAACCCCTCTTCCATCTGGACGGCCCTTTATGCTGCCTGATCAGGGACATCTCGACCCCAACAACTACAGGTGGTTGCTGGTGTACCGTGTACAAAGCACGTTGCTCTTCTCTTGCATTCTTCTTCTCCGTTGGCCACCAGTTGTCTGTAGTTGTCATTGATTTCTTCCTCAGGACAAAACAGGCACAAGTATTCACAAGGGACTTTGGCATACTTCAGGTGTTCTCGCCAGGGTTGGTCTGTGGCTTCCCATCGATGAATTTTCAGGCCGCAACAATAACAGATCACACTATTACCTCGTCCATGATAGAAATAGCCAGCCATGGCCAAGTCATAAGGACACTGGGCCATCTGTATAGGCCATGTTCGAAACGACCTCGCACGTTGATAAAACTTGGCATACTCGGGGTGAGTAGGATTCTTCAAGCTGTATCCAGGTTGTGTCCACGAGGATGACAGAGGAGAAGGAATATCCTCTGAAGATGATGACAGAGGAGAAGAAGGAATATCCCCAGAGGGTCTCCGTTGGGATATATCCACATGCAACTTCTTGTGCCTGATCTTTTGAGACACCCACTCCGTATCGGGGACATCGAATGCACCCATGCTGATACGTCTGCACTGTCCGACGACTTGAAGCCAAATGACGCCTTCTCTCAAAACAATGCTTTATGTTTCTTGCTGAATCCAACTGCCTGTTTTCGTTTTCTTTCTGCGTTCGTGATCCTGGTGGGTGTTGTCGCAAGGTGACGAGTAAGACTTGTTTCCCATGATGTTACAAACTGTTCCCCACACTTCGGTGTCCAGAACTGATATCTTGCATTTATCCCGGCAGCATCTTGACGCCTGTTTTGAGAGCTGATTTTCCCACCATCTTGATGATGGAAAGTGCTGAACGTCCCATGTGGGTCTTGACCAAGCTTGACGTCCTGCTGTTGCCTGCCACAAGGCAAGCCACCCTCCATAGCCTGCAGGATGTTTAGGATCGTAGCAGGTGTGGTGGAGCAATGCAGGAGACATAGACGACGACTCTCTGTTGTTGTTTCTCTTTGGACGTCTCATGGTGACACTGTCGTTGACATCACCCTCTGCTCCCTTTTATTAAAAGTGAATCCACTGACAAACCCGGTTGAGAGGGGAGGAGGAGGAGGAGGAGGGGGAGGAGGGGGTCTCTGCTGCCTTCTTCTTCTTCTTGGGTTCCAGAAGAAGGTTGGATGGGGTGGTGTCAAAACCAGTCAGCTGGGGGTGGGGGTGGTGGGGGTGTTGACGATTCACGGGGGTGTCAGGGGGCTGGGTGGATGACCCTTTGGTTTTCATCATCCAGGACCAACGTAGAGGGTTGCCAATCAGTTCATGGGGTACGTTGCTGGAAGCAAGATACTGACCCAGAATATTCCAACCCCGTGGAGGGTCTGATTTGGTACGTTGTCGAACAAGATCATTGATGAGATCCACCATGTGAGTCCCAGGCATGGGTTCCCCTTCCACCACGAATTGACCTGTCTCATTCCAACCCAAGTCGGGGTGAGCACGAATACGTGCCATCAACTGCTTGGCCTTGGCTTGTAGCGTTTTGGGAACTGTTTGCACGACTTCATTCAGAATGGCTTCGACATTGGGTTCTGAAACAAAGAACAAACCATGAGCCACTGCTCTACCATGTGCTACGCGGACTCATTCTTTGGAATGCAACCTCTACGCCACTGGAACACGCGCGACTCAGTAAGTCAACCATACTTACGGTGAGCTAGGGGAGTTCCCTCCCTGGGTACCCCATCCCTGGGGGTTCCAGTCCTGGGGGTGCCAGCTGCCTCTAAAGGTCGTGGTTTGACCGCTGCTTGGTCTTGAAACGCCAAGGTGTGTTGCAACAAGGTGTTATACTGCTGCTCTCGGTCCCTAAAGGGAACCGTGTCATCATGGACGAGGGTATCAATATCGTGAAGCGTGTGCACGCGTTTCTGTTCCAACAGGTTGGACTTGAACAAATGCCGTTGACGTTGTTCTTCTTGCAGACTTTGCCATACCTCTTCTGGGACCATCAGCATCTTCCGTGCATGCTTCAATGCTGACGAAGGAGCAGGGTCAGGAGGAGGAGGAAGATGTGA